TCATCAAAAGCCCATCTGACACCTAAGCCTGCATTCTTACTGGAAGTCTGACCACGTTACGTGTTCGAGAGTAAAGGTGAAATGTGCAACAATGCTCACGGCCTGAGCCCCTTTTCCGGTTAGAAATCCAGCAAAGCCTGCATGGCAGAGATGGGGAAACGGAGGCACTAGAGTGGCGGGAGCAGATGCAGCAGGCACACAGTGTCTCTGGGGAGCGGGCCACAGGGTGGCGTGAGGGGGGCTTGTGCTTTTCGTTAGACAGCTCTGTAGCACGGCTCTCATGGTTCCACCACTGGACACATGAATCCTCTCAGTCTGCTGTCCCCACAGGGTGGTGTGTTTTGCTGTCTGTGCTGGCCAAAATGGCGCTCCTGGGCTGCTGTGTCTGTTGCAGTCACAGAGTGCCCACTGACCCTCCAGCCTACTCTTTGTTAGAGAACAGATTTCCCTCCCTTTCAGAGACAAGAACCTGAGGTTCAGGGAGGGGCGAGGACACAGCCTCGAAGCAGCCACTTCTGATTGCAAGCCCGATGATGGTGGCATTTCAGGCCCTGATACCAGCTCATGGGAGATATATTTTAAACAAAAATAATATAATAATAATAGCGCCCCCCCCACCATTGCTGAGTCGCTTCTGACTTGTGACCAACTCCATGTGTATCAGAGGGGAACTGCGCTCCACAGGCCTCTCGATGACTGATTTGTCAGAAGAGGATTGCCAGGCCTTTCTTCTGGGGTGCCTCTATGGATTTGACTCAGCCCTTCGCTTAGCAGTCGAGCTTGTTAATCCTTTGTGCTACCCAATACCCACGGCCGGTGAGGCAGTTCCGACTCACAGGGACCCTGCAGGACAGAGTAGAACTGCTCCATAGGGTTTCCAAGGCTATAAATCTTTACAGGAGCAGATTGCTGGTGGGTTCAAACCACTGACTTTTTGGTTGGCAGCCAAGCACTTTGACCACTGTGCTACCAGGCTCCTCATGTGCCACCCAGGGACCCCAACATAACAATCAATAATAATGATCACCACCATCCCCACAGCCAGACCTAGTCTGCCCCCCCACCTCTTAGCTTTGTGCTTGTCACAGAGCCACCTTTGGGCTGCTGACCCCCACCCCCATGGACTGTGCCAGCTGCGTGTGCCCGGCCCTGGCGTCGCCCTAACTCCTCTCCACTTCCCTTTTGTCCTTCCTCTTTCCCATCATATTTTTAGAAATCTTTCTGCCTGTACCGCGACTTCCAGGACAGCTGGCTCTGCTTCCCCTTTCCAGGGCGGGAGCAGGGTGCTATCCTGGGGCCTGAGGGAAGAGACCCCCTCAAAGGCTCCCTGTGGGGTGCACGGGAGTAGAAAGGGGTATCTGGAGAGGCTACTTCCCGCCCCAGCCCGGAGGCCCTGTGGGCGCTGTGTGTGGCTTCCTCTCCCCCTGCTAAGCTGCCTCTATTTTTAAACATGGCCCAGCCTCTCTGCACCAGCATGAAGCTTGTCTTTGGTCACTACGGAGCTTTTGTTGCCTGGACTTCTCACCTTCCTGCAGGCCCTGACCTGCTTCCGGGATGTCACATACCCACAGCAGGAGTTGGGAAGGCAGCCCTGGGGGAGAACCTTTGCCACCTTCTTGTCCTTTATACAGGTGGGAAAACTGAGGCCCACAGAAAGAAGAGAGCTGTCATGACCACGGGCAGGTGGGCACGGGACTGCGACCAGAGCCAGGCCCAGCTGAATACAAATCCCTTTTGGTTTCCCGTGTTCCCAGGTGGAGTTGGGATGAAGGTGCTGATTTAGAGATGCTGAAGCTGAGCCCAGAGGAGGAAGTTCCCAGATTAAGATCCAGGCCCTTTCTTCTCTCCCTCTCTCCCTGCCTCTTCCTCCTCCAGGAAGTCTTCCCATATGCCCCCTGTGGGGTGGAAAGACTTGACTCCTTCCACACTCCAGGCCCTGTCCCTGTTTGCACATCTGGCCTGGGCCAGAGTCCTGCAGGATCTGTCGCCCCCTCCCCCATGCACCAACCAGAAACTCCCCAGGGCCAACTCTGTGACTGGGTCGCTGCAGGCCCCAGCATCACCCTGCACAGGGCCTGCACAGCAGAAGACTCCTCACAGAATGAATGAACCAAGTAGTGGAGACCCCACATCTCCCAACAGAATGCCTGCGTTGACCCCATTCCATCCACTTCCTTCCTAGGGCCAGCCTGAAGCAGGGCAATGACTCACCTTCTGGCCCCCCTCTCTTCTCTCCCCTCCCTTCCCCTCTCCTCCCCTTCCCTGTAGCTCAGCTAACCTGGGGGCTCATCTCTCTTCAGCACACCTTGTTTTGTCCCCGCTCTGCCACTTACTGGCTGCTGGCTGTGTGACGTTGGACCTGTCAGGCCTCTTCTCCCGTTTACCTCTGCGAGGCTGTTTCCTCATTTGCATCATGGGGACAACTGTCCCGTTCCTAAGGCCTTCATTCAGTTTGCTAACACCCGACAGAACGCCGTGTACAGATGAGGGCCGTTATTTCTTGTCAGGGTGTCCTCACTGCCCCATCTCATTTCACATCTGCTCTGCCACTCCTTTGCCGGGGAATCTTGGCCAGGCACTGTCCCTCACTGGGCTTCCTTTGCCTTCTAAGTTCCACCTAAGATGTGTCCATCTGGACACAGGTCCTGCTGTGCATAGGTAGGGTTGCTATGAGTCGGAGATGACGCGAGGACACCTAACAACAACAAGATGTGTCCACGGAAACCAGACAGTGTGCGAGCCATTGGTCCCCAAGAGCCCACGGGAGAAGCAGAGGTGTAGGGGGAAAGCACAGAGAGTCAGGAGATGGGGGTGCGGTCCAACCTCTGCCTTGACAAGGCTGCCTCCCACTCTGGGCCTCTTTTGTTCCATCTGTAAATAGGGTAAGAGGAGTGGAAGGGATCACTGGCTCTTGAACTGTCCTCCCTGGAACCCACAAGCTCCACCTCTGGGGGCGACGGGGAGGCTCAGTGGGTAGGGTCACCACTGCCTAGCCTGTGTTAGGTTTTGTTTGAAGGGAGAGCTCTGTTACTTTAGGGTTGCAATCCTGGGGAACTGGGCAGCCCCTCCAGCTCTCACATTCTGGAATTACAGGTAACGTACGAGGGCAGGGATGGCCTGTTTGCAGCCACACCTCCTGCCAACCACACAGCTTGACAGCTATGTGGAACTCAACAAACATGTGTTGCATGTCATTGGGTTTCCCAAGTGCTTCATGTCCATCTAAGGAGCTCTGGTGGCCCAGTGCCTAAGGCATTTGACTGCTAAACCAGAAGGTTGGCGGTTCACTAGCTGATCCGCAGAAGGAAGATGGCAGAGCACAATCTACTTCTGTAAAGATTTACTGCCTTGGATGATGACTTTGAGTTGGAATCAACTGGAGGGCAGTGAGTTGGGCTTTTTTTTTTGGTTTATATCCATTTATACATTTAATCTTTTCCAGGATCTTCCTCCCAGGGCAGATAATGGTATCCCATTCTACTGAAGAGGAAACTGAGGCCCAGAGAGGCTGGCTGTCTTGCCCAGGATCACACAGCAAGAGAGTGGAGGAAGGGATTTGCAGCCAGGCCCCGGAGCCTGGAGTGTGCCCTCAGGGCCTCGAGCTCCCAGGGGGCCCCTGAGATAAGGAACGCACCTCCCTGGTGGAGCAGTCTGAAGTCTGCAGAGACTGCCAGGGAGTTGGGGAATCTAGGGTCTCCTTCTTGCATAACCAACCACTGCCGTGGAGTCAGATCCAATTCATAGGCGAGCCCTCCTTGGGTTTCTGAGGCAGTATCACTATGGAAGTAGATTGCCACATCTTCCTTCTGAGGAGTGGCTGGTGGGTTTGAACCGCCAGCCTTCTGGTTAGCAGTCAAGTGCCTTAGGCACTATGCTACCAGAGCTCCTTCTTTCCTACATAGCAGTGGGCAAGTCACTCTAGCACCGAGCCTCAGCTTTTTCCTTTTCTGTTAAAGGAGACAATAGTCCCTTCACAGCTCTTGAAGCTCTTATGAGATAAGAGGACAGATAAGCTTTTCTGGATGGGGACAACCCAAGCTTGCTACAGAGAAGGTAGGTCCTCTGACTCCCAGGCTCACTCTCTGCTCTCTCTCTCTTGTCTGCCTTGTGGTCTGCCCACAGGACGGGGACTAGTTGACCAAGACGGTCCCTGCCCCCTGTGGCACTCCCCACACGCTAAGAACCCCCTACCTGGACTCAGAACACAGCTAGTGGTGAGGTGGCTCCAAGCTGATTGAGGGATCCACCTTCCAAGGGAGGGGAGCAGGTCTGGGGGCTTCAGGGGTCTTGGTTAGGGGTGCAGCAGAAGTAGGCTCGGGCCCAGGAGGGAAATACAGCCTGTCTCTGAATCTTGGGGTGCCCCCACTGTTGGAGAATGTCTTCCTACCTAGCCAACCCTTCCTCGTCAGAGCCAGTCAGTCCTTCGGAGCACAGTGCTAAGATCCCCACTCCTGCATGGGTGCAATCATGGGAGGGGGAGTACCCGGCAGGGTGAGATGGGCTGTCTGCTCTTGGGGATGCCAATCCCCTCCTGCCCACCAGCAGAGAGCTCTCACCGCACTGCCTGGAGAGGTGGCAGGAGCCCTGGCCCCTGGGTTCTAAATCTGATTCTTCTGCGCTGTGTGGCTTTGGGAGGCTCATGGCCCTCTCAGGGCCTGTTCTCACCAGTATAAGCCCCTTCTGCAGGGACTTTGTTGTTGTTGTTGTTGTTATTTGCCATCGAGTCGGCCCTGACTCATAGCGACCCCTCCTTGGGTTTCCGAGGCAGTATCACTACGGAAGCAGGGACTTTAGCACCAACATTCTCAATACCAGTGGGCATCTGGAAGGGGTCTCTCTGGGTGCACCCACCTCAGCTTCCCTGCTGAAACGGGGGACAGCTCCTTTCCCACCTGGCCCCTGATACTCCCAGCACGTCCCTGGTCCTGCTCAGCAGGGCCTTTTGCATGCACCCACACACTCACACCTTTTGCTGGGCCCCTACCCCTCTGGGAGCTTACCTGGGTGACACAGGTCCATTCTGAAGCCCCCAGGGGAACAGTGGCCTGTGTTCCAGCTGCTTGCTGGCCCAGCTGCTGCTTGGGGTGGCCCGGCAGGGATGTGTCACCTCATCTGCAAGCAGGCTCCTTCCCTCCGCCCAGCCCAGCCCAGCCCCGTGTGGGGAGGAAGTGCTGGCCCCCAGGTCTGCTGCGCAGGCCCCAGACGCCGCAGCACTTCCTAAAAACAGGCAGAGTCTCGGGGTAGCAGAGACCTGCATTTGGGGTGTGAGCAAGGGAGGGGGAAGGAGAGAGAGACAGAGAGAGAAACAAAAAGAGAAGGAGTGAGACACAGAGATACAGACCACACACACACACACACACACACACAGAGGCAGATGACCACTGGAGGACAGAGCCTTTTCCAGGGGACAACAGACATTCACTCAGCATATCAGCCAAAGCGTCACCCGGTTTGGACAGTCCAAGCCAGGCTCTGTGTATTCCATCCCACAGGTCCCTTTCATCAAAGCACACTTGAAAAAACAAAAACAAGAAAACAATCAGTGCTGGGAAGCGCTTTGCTTTCCCTCGAAGCAATGTCTGTCTCTTTTCTATCTAGTGTCCAGTTGGGTAATCAGTTTCCCTTTTCCCCCAGGCTGCTGGGAAACTCACATATAAATCTGATGCTTACAATAATAGCATATGTTATATATAATAATGCTGTATAATAATAACACGTGGACCTTGGGGCTGGATTCAGCTCTGCCACTTAGGACCTGTATTAAGTGGGTACATTGCTTGTCCACAGTGAACTTCACTGTGCTCCCCTGCAAAAGGGGGATAGCGGCACAGCCATCAGAGTCACGGAAAAGAATGAGTGAGACACGGTGTGTCACATGTTTGGAACATAAGAAGCATTGAGGAACCACTGCCTTCTTTTCCCTTTCTGGTGGCACTGTGGTTAAAGCATTGGGCTGCTAACCAAAATGGAAGGTCGGTGGTTCAAACCCATCAACCACGCCACGGGACAAAGAAGAGGCAATCTGCTTCCGTAAAGATTTATAGCCTTGGAAACCCTGTGGGGGCAGTTCTACTCTGTCCTGTAGGGCTGCTATGAGTTGGAATTGACTCAATGGCAGTGGGTTTGGTTTCTTTTCCCTTTTGGTTTTAATGTTCTTCTTTCTTTCAAATTCATAACTTTATGTACGTGCCTTTTCTGGCAGTTTAACTCAAATCCTTTATGGAGGAGGATGTGGTGTAAAGAAATGTCTTGAAAACAAAAGCTCTTCCCCTGTAACCTCATGGCACATGTTGGTTTATTTATCTTTTTCTCACTCATTTGAAGTTCCCGGTAAGGTCACTTTGGCGTCCCAGTGTCTGGTAAAATGCTGGAGACCTAAAACGTGTTGTCATCATGTCAATCCTGACTCATGGCAACTCCGTGTGGTAGAGAGTGGAACTGCTTCATAGGGTTCTTTTTTTTTTTTTTTTTTATTAGGATTTGGGTGAAGATTTGCAGAGTAAATTCACTTTTCATACAGCAGTTCACATATACTTTGTCTCATGTCATTGACCAAAATTTACAATGCAGCAGCTCCCCTCCCACTTCCTCCCCATAGTTACCTCCTCCCAGTGTCCATCCCTTCATACTCTTCGAGAGGCCCATTGTCTGCCAACCCTGTATATGATCTTGGATACACTCTCCATTTAGACATACATAATTGTTTAGCTTGTTCACCCATCTATCCGTCCCTATACCCATGTTTGCTTTCATTGACAACTCAGTATTGTATTTACAAAGGGGTTCATATTTGTTGTTTGTACTGCCCATGTAACTCTCTCTGTCTTTCTCATCCTCAATGCTGCCATATTGGTCACTCACATTTGGTACATTGCCCTTCTCTTCACCCAAATCAATATTTATCTCTATCTATCTAACAGCATTCCCTCCCCTTCCCTCCCACCCCTGGTAACCAACAAAGAAAATGTCCTCCAATATATAAACCTTTCCTTAACTTTTACAATAACGGACTAATACAATATTTGTCCTTTTGTGACTGACTTATTTCGTTCAGCATAATGTCCTCCAAGTTCATCCACGTTATGCGGTGTTTTGCAGATTCTACATTATTCTTTAGCGTTGCATAGTATTCCATTGTGTGAATGTACCAAAGTTTGGTTATCCATTCCTCAGTTGTTGGACATCTAGGTTGTTTCCAAGTTTTGGCTATTGTAAATAGTGCTGCGATGAACATTGGCGTGCGTATATCTGTTCTTGTTATGGCTCTCACTTCTTTAGGGTATATACCTAGTAATGGGATGGCTGGGTCAAATGGTATTTGTATTTCCAACTTTTGAAGGAATCACCATACTGCTTTCCACAATGGTTGTACCATTTTACAGTCCCACCAGCAGTGTATGAGAGTCCCAATCTCTCCACAACCTCGCCAGCATTTGTTATTTTCTGTCTTGTTGAACTTTGCTACTAGTGCTGGAGCAAGATGGTATCTCATTGTTGTTTTGATTTGCATCTCTCTAATAGCTAATGATCGTGAGCATTTCTTCATATGTTTGTTGGCCGCTTGAATATCCTCCTTGGTGAAGTGTCTATTCATGTCTTCTGCCCATTTTTTAATTGGATTGTTTGTCTTTTTGTTATTGAGGTGTTGGAGTGTTCTATAAATTCTAGAGATAAGTCCCTTGTCAGATATGTTATTACCAAATATTTTTTCCCAATCTGTAGGTTCTCTTTTGACTCTTTTGGAGAAGTCTTTGGAAGCACATAAACATTTAATTTTTAGAAGGTCCCAATCATCTGGCTTCTCTTCTGCTGTTGGTGCATTTTGAATTATGCTTGGTAGTCTATTTATACCAAATATTAGGGCCATAGGGTTCTCTTGCCTGCAATCTTCGTGGAAGCAGACTGGTAGGCCTTTCTTCCATGATGTCTCTGGGTGGGTTCAAACCATCACCCTTTGGTTAGCAGTAAGTGCAAACGGTTCACACCACTCAGGGACATAGAGGATGTCCATGTGCAGAATGAATGAATGAATGAGTGAAACAGGGCAGATAGCGCAATAGATGCAAAAGCTGCAATGTCCACCCCTCCCTGGATCCACACCCCTTTGCACTGTGACGATGCTGCTCCTCCCACCAAGAGGGAACCCATTGCTCCTGCCCTTGAATCTGGCCCGGACTTGTGTCTTGTTTTGGCCAACAGAAAGTGGCAGAAGTTACATGACATGACTTTCAAGTCTAGGCCTTAAGAGGCCTGGTAGCTCCTACTCTTGCTCTTGGACCCCTGTCCAGTTGCCAGGAACAAGCCTGGGCTAGCCTGCTGGAGGATGGTGACCACCTGGAGAAAAACCTGGCAGTCCTGGCTGCCAGCCAGGCTCAGCCTATGAATGAACCCAGGCAGGACTAGAAGAACCACTTCCCACTGCCATTGAGTTGATTCTGACTCACAGTGCCCCTAGAGGACAGAGTAGAACTGCACCACAGGGTTTCCAAGGCTGTAAATCTTTACGGAAGGAAGGTTGGGCAATCCTACTTCTGCAGTGATACTGCCTCGGAAACCCAAGGGGGGGTCGCTATGAGTCGGGACGACTCGACGGCAAACAACAACAACAACAACAACAAATCTTTACGGAAGCAGACTGCTTCATCTTTCTCCTGTGCAGTGGCTAGTGGGTTCGAACTGCCAACTTTTTGGTTAGCAGCCAAATACTTTAAGCATTGTGTCAGCAGAGCTCCTTGAAGAACCACTTGTCCCAAATCACTATCCCACAGCGTTTATTGTGAGAAATAATAACTTTTTTTTTTGTTGTTTCAAGCCACCAATTTTGAGAGTGGTCTGAAACACTGCCAAAGCTCACTGTTACAGATGGAATCCATCTCCTTCATTTCATTGAAGAAGAAACTGAGGCTCATTTCTGGGACGTGCTTGGCCAAGCTGGAACTTGAGTTAGGGGCCCCTCAGGATGAGACACTAGTCCTGTTGACTCCCAGTCTAGTGCTCACAGGACTCATTGGACCTGTCCTCCTTCCCTCTGGTGCTCACATAACTCAAGGTTATTTTCTGGGGAGTTTGTTGAAATTATCTCTGTGCTAAACTATAGTGTTCTCAACAGGCTATTTGCTGGGTCACTTCAAAAAGAAATGGGGAAAAATGTGTAAAATCCTGTGCAGAAAGAGTTAATGCAGTGGGTCTGAGGCTGCTATCTGGAGAAAAAGCTGGCTTGCAAGGTTGGCCTTTTGCTGGCTCTGGGAACTTGGATTTTGGGAGGTTTCCCATCATTCCCTGGGCCTAGACTGTGCAAATCTATGGTGAATGCAGAACCCCTGTTTTCCCTGTGGGAGTCTAGAGTTTTGGGACTTGCTAGGCAGAGGGTGCCTACATGACCAACCCCAGGAAAAATCTTGGGCACTGTGTCTTTAAAGAACTTCCCTAAACCCATAGCCATTGAGTCGATTCTGACTCATAGCAACCCCCAAAGGGTTTCTGAGGCTGTAAATCTTCAAGGTAGCAGACTGCCTCATTGTTCATCCACAGAGCAGCTGGTGGCTTCGAACTGCTGACCTTTGGATTAGCAGCCCAATGCCTTAACCACAGCACTCCCAGAGCTCCTTGGGAGACAACATTGCATGCTTATCATCACAATGTGTTGGAATCACATGGTACGTTCTGTGTGATCCCACCAGGAGAGGACTGTGGAAGCTTGTTCCTGGTTTCCTCTGCACTCTGTCCCAAGTGCCTTTTCCCTTTGCTGATTCTGCATTTTGTCCTTTCACTGTAATAAATCCTGGCTGTTAAGTGTTGATTAAATGCTGAGTCCTGTGAGCCCCCCTAGCAAATCTACAAATTGAGGGTGGTCTTGAAGACCCCTTACACATGCTCTAATGCTGTGGCTGGACCCAATAGAAGTGCTTTGCCCAGAGCCACAGGTTAGCATCTGGGACTTCCGTCTTGTCTGAAGGGGCTGGTAGAGAGGTTCACTTATTATTACTGTCTTACTCTCTACAACCCAACTCAGATACCACCTCCTCTGTGATAGTGCCTGCCCTTCCTCTGCCCCTGCAGCCATGGTCATGTTGAACAGCTCGTATGCAGATAGCCCAGGAGGGAGGGACCCTCTCATTGTGGATGACAGAGGGTTTGGTAGGATCAACAGGATGGGAACTACAGAGACCTGAATTCCAACACTGATTCGCCTCTTGC